GATCATTAAGTGTACTTAAAACATAAATCCCAACAGTGGGATCCAAAGGCAAACAAGATCAGGACACTGACAGGGCATAAACTATTTTTATGGAGAAAGTGAGTTGAAAAGAAGGTAGGCCTGTAGAAGTGGTGGAATTCAATTTTTTTTACTACCGGTTCTGTGGGCGTGGCTTGATAGGCATGGCAGGGGAAGGATACTGCAAAATCTCCATTCCCTCTTCACTCCTGGGGGGAAGGATATTGCAAAATCTCCATTCCCACCTCACTCTGGGGCCAGCCAGAGGTGGTATTTGCTGGTTCTCTGAACTACTCAAAATTTCCACTACTGGTTCTCCAGAACCTGTCAGAACCTGCTGAATAGCACCCCTAGCCTGTAGCAACCTAAAGATTCTGAGTCTCAGAAACTTCACAGGAATTCTGAATCATAGAATCCATTTGGAAGAGTTCACTTCAAAATTCCATTCACGTAATCCTCAATTTACGACCACAATGGAGACCAAAATTTCCATTGCTAAGCTTAATCGTGCCCCCCATTTTATGACCTTTGTGCCACACTTGTTAAGCAAATCACTGCAGTTATTAATTGAATCATATGGTCATTAAGTGAATCTGGCTTCCCCTATTGACTCTTCTTGTGGTAAACCATCTGAGGAGATTACAAATGGTGATCACACGACCCCGGGACACTGCAACGGTCATAAATATGAACCAGTTGCCAAGCACCTGAATTTGATCATGTGACCATGGGGATGCTGCAGTAATTGTAAGGGTGAAAACTGGTCATAAGCCAATTTTTCCAGTGCCATTGTAACTTCGAACAATCACTAGATGAATGATTATAAGTCAAGGACTACCTGTAGTAAACTGTTGCATACAGATGATCATCCAACCTTGATTTAAAAACATCCCTTGGTAATTAGTTCCACTGTTGAACTATTCTTAATTTTATGTACATGCCACTTAATTTTTTAAAAAACATTCAACCAGACCCTGCCTTCATGTAATTTAAGATTATCATTAGTGCATTATAGATAATAATAATGCATTAAATTTTCAACAACTCTGGGAAGCTCACAACAATCAAATGATAGAAAACTAATCATAGTTTTGCTTCCATGTGACTTAAGGACGTACTGTGAAAAATACTTGAAAATTACTATCATGTAGAATCCCAATTTTCTCTTCCCAAGGCATTATCAGTTCCATCCCTTCTTCCTTGTAGGCCACATTCTTGTAGAACACATCCACATACCCTTCTTCAGACCCATTCCTTTTTCCCTAAGACTGGTGGTGCGAGGGCTTCTCCCATCCTTCTGACTTAAGCTGATGGAGTCAATTTTTCAATATTTTAATTGCCACAGTTGGCTATGAAGTGAGTCTGATAAGAACAAAAGAGATATAATATTGCACAAGCGTAGCAGAATTCCCTCCCGCAAAAGAGGGAACTAGGAAATAGTTATCTAAACTAGGAAATAGATAAAACGTTTAGAGAATGTCAGTGGAAAACCACTTGGATAGCATCGCTAGGAAAACAAAGTCATCAGGAGTCAAGTTTGTCTCGAGTGAGAATCTACCTTTTACTGTAGGTTTGAGATAATGAGCAAAAACCTGTTTCTCTTTCTTTTCAGCCTTTATATTCTCTCTCAGTTTATGAACCTTATCTCCAGACTGCTTAGTTTTATCAGCTGTTTGCAAAGTGTTTGATGTTTAATTTTATTGTAGTATTGTATTTTTAATCCTTACCACTTCTGAATGCAGAAAAGCAGTGTATGAATATAAATAAATAAAATTACCCACCTCAAATCAATAAGCAAGCAATGCAGATTACTGCTGACAGATTGTCTTGCTACCCAAGGAAACCAAGAAAACAAACCAATGCACCATCAAATAAACCAATCTAGAGTTTTCACTTGAGTTGCAAATGACCAGGCTCAAATTATCCTACTTTGGATACATTATACAATGAATTAGCTGTCCAGAGAAGACTCTAATGCTAGCTAGGTTGACAAAAAGAGAGGAAGAGGGCAACCAGCAGTATGGTGGATGGACTTTGTTAGAGTACCTATGAGAGCACAGTTGGAAGAACTGAAGGACTAGGTTAGGGACAGATATCATGGAGAATATCTGTGTGGTTACTAAGAATCAACAACACCTTCATGACACATAATCCTAAATCACCATCAATAAGAAATATGTTCAAACACTAAAATCAAATTGTAGAAAGATGGCTTGATTTTTCAAAGATGGTAAGTCTTTAGTGCTATGGTGCCAACAAGGAAAAACTCTAATGATATATTGATAGCAATTGCCATTTCACACACACACACATACACAAAAAGAAAATGGGAGAATTTCTTCAGTTGTCTTTGAACTGGAAGAGTTGTCTTGCATTTGCAGAAACAGAATTGATAATACTGAAAGGGAGATTCAGTCTCCCTAAAAATAGCATGTCAAAAAGTTCATGCTCGAAGAACATCTACTGTACTAGAACTCCGAGCCTTTTTTACTTTTAATGAGGCAGAAATTTCATTTTGTCTTCCTCTCTCTGCAGATACTCGGCCAATACATATAGAAATTTCTTTCTTTTCTACCGTCCTCTTCTTCAACCTTGCCTCTATTTTTATTCCCCTGATTTATCTTTGTTTTTCCTTCTTTTGAAAGGACGGAAAAGTGTATATGTGAGAATGAGAGTGATAAAAACAGACATATGCATACATATGTACACTGCATTATCCACACATTTCTTAGGAAAAACAAAGTAACTAGGATTGATTTCAGCTGGAACTGGTCACTTTAGTATGACAGAGAAGCTGGATTTGTTTTTCTTTCTGTAAATGCAATAATAACGAAATAAAACTTGCCTTGAAATTATCCCCTCTGACCTAGCATTCAGAGTTATTTGGATTCCTAGATGTGGGTGCCAGTTGTGGTGAAGTTTATGAAGGAAAATTATGTTGTGCAGGTATTTAGCTACTGCCTCTATGTTTCAGAAGATAGCACTGCCAAAGGAAAGCAGATCTCTGCCTTAGAGAATAAATCCTGCCTTAAATTTCATCTGAGTGAACATTAATCCAAAATGGAGTTGAGCATGCATGTCAATCCTCACTTCCAGCCTTGGGAAGGCTACTATGTACACTAAAGGCAAATATCATTAAATTTATCATGTTATATTGCTGAAAATACAGATATAATTGTAATGTAAAGAGTCACTGCAAAGAAACTTTTGCCAATGAGAAAAATTGGTATTTGTTTTGCTAGCTAGCTTGACAGTAGGAAGTTTCAGGAGGAATAGCCCAACTAAAACCAGTCCCTAAGAGAAGAAATGTGCTTCTAGAGTTCCCTACCTCTGAAAACACTTTTTACAAAACATCTGTGTTCTTTATATACCTTAGTCTGCATAATTACCTGATTTCTTGCTACTCTATAATAGCTTTTGGGAAAACTGGAATTATTTACACACACTGGATTAAGTCACCATGGAGGCAAGAGGTAAGATTGGGACCTCCTTATTGGCACCACCAATATTTAAGATTCAGTCCAAAGAAATCTGGAACAACTGAAATCCCCATTAGGACAAAAAAGCCTTAAATGCTTAAGACTGTGATTAAGTTCCAGCTCATCCCATTTCTTTGGATTTCATCCAATAGACACAAATAGGATGAAATATGTTGCATTATGAAAGCTCATGTTCTTGGTAGAACTGCCAAATTCTAAATTACATTACTACCCAATCCACAATTAGAGCATTTGAATGTTAGCTAAGTGCGCTTTCAGAGAAATAGGAATTGTTCTAAAATGCAAATGTAAAACTACACCAATCAGAATATGTATTAGATTAAAATGGTTGTCTACCTGGAATTTATATCTGACAGAAACCATGCAAGTGAAACTCAAATTATAAAGAGAAACAAATCTTAAAATACTGAAATTATCCTGAATGGCTTAATAAAAAAAAATCAGCTACTAGCAAGTCCTCGGCTGGTGGTTCTCAGAGCATTTTTTAAATTCCCTGGCCTGCTTTGTTTGTCTGTGGCTCACTGGATTTGAGGAATCATACTCTCTAACGTATGTGATTTTCTTATACAGGGAGAAATGCTTGATTATTTCTTTACTTAGTCTGTATACAATTTTCTTTTATTAAGGGACTCGGAATCTCATTTTTTGAAACTTTAGGCTCATGTTTTTATTATGAACATAGTAACTAACTAAAATTTAAACTCCAAAATTATTTCAAGTTAACAGGCTCCTATCATTGCATAAATTTCTAAATGTTTTTAATTAATTACACTAGATTGAGCATTGGAGGAACCAAAATGCCACATTTTTACTCATGCAGTATTCTTGTTTTTGTTTTATCATTTGTTTGAGTTGGGCAGCCTTATAAATTTAGTTAATAAATTAAAAGCATATAATAAAGTTCTAGCACTCAGAGTGCAGTTTCTCTCTGTGCCATCCTCCTCCATTTATTACGAAACAATAAAGTCGATAAGCACAGTTACAGTTAAAAAACACTTTAAACAAAGTGTTCCAGAATCACTGCCACTCAGAACAGAGATGATGAAAGATCACCAGAACCAAGGAACTAGATAGTAAGCCCAGAAGAATGCACGAGATTTCCAGAGGGCATCTTATCTAGGTCACTTCAATTTAGTACCATGGATCTTCTGATCCAACTTCTTCAATATAAAACATCCTGAGCCAGTTAGCAAGACAATCCCCAGCTTAGATTCTTGAGTATCAACTTAGGAGCTATATTGAAGGTTTAATGTATCTTCATTGCACAGGGACATTTTCCAAACATAAACTGTTTTATACATTTTAAGCTTGTTCTAGAAAATTGTCCATTTCTATTCCATCTGTGACCTTCCATATTCTACCATTCTCCCCCACCCATCACCATTACACCAATGCTACTGCCTCGTGAATGTGAGGTCATCCTGCACAGGAACAGGAAAATCCAGGATCCATGAAGTAGAACAAGAATTGCTTTCACAAAAAGGGGGTAATCTTTTTTATTATTATTATTATTATTATTCTTAGCAGTATTCACCTTGAAGGAATATGAGGGATGCATACATTTTTTTACAGACAATATATAAACATGTTGTACATAATTAACAATAACTTAGTTCACTAATCCAAAAATTAAGCCAATTTTTTTAAAAAAAGACCAGAAAATACTGCCAAATCTTTATGCTGATATTAAGTACAAAATAATTTAAATCCTGACTGTGGTACTTTTATGCTGCAGTGACTGACAATCTATTGCACTTTGTCAACCTTGGACTTGGTCCAGCAAGCATTTGTGATGTGCAGCCTCAGTCTTCCTAAAAGGAGGGCATGAGTAGGCCTCGCTTTTGAGAGGGCAGCAGTGGTACTGGGTGGATTTGTTTCCTAGCATTATTATCTTCCTCATTCTCTCACCCAGCCATTCCCACCCACTTCTGACCCTCACGGAATTTGGTTACTACAAAAGGTGGATAACTGTACCATATATGTTAAAAATCCCCTTTCCTCACATACACACACACACATGCACCCAAATCAAGGAAAAGGAGTAAATAATTTCCATCTTGGCTAACAGAAATTAATATTTATCCCAGGTGGAATTTCTTTCAGTTTTGGTCTGGGGGGTTTCTTGAGGGGGCTTTTTTGTGGTGGTGGTGGGTATTCTGTCATTTCTATTTCTTCACAAAGTGCAACTACATTATGCCTACAGAAACCAAAACAGTCAGAAAAGGCATTTGCTCGGAATGCTTGGTCCTTTGTACCAAAAACTGAATTACAGATTTAGGAGAAAGCAAAAACAATGTACACCTGGATTTTTGTTTTAAGCAGACTTTTGCAGTTAAAGATACAAGTTGGGCTTGACTTGAAAAAAAAATGGAAAAAAAATACATTTAAAAACTTGCCACAGAGTTAGCTTTATGCGATTTACATTATCAATCCCCTCTGTTAATTGGGGTCATTTTTTTTTCATCAGAAATATAGCTACATATGTACATCATATGTTATATTGGACCTTGTGATCATGAAAGTCATCAGATCATAACAATCAATAGAATACATTTCACACTGGCAAGAGTTTTATTCTTCAGCTGTTTACGTACAGTATGGTTTCAGAATGGGAGACAACTTTGTTTCTGAACACTTGTGATTTTCTTTAAAAACAAATCTATCTATCTACATATATATATATATGTATGCTATAGGAAACCATATACCACATTTTCCCCATGAGCAGATCACTTTCCTTTGATGTTGCTATATCTGATCTATCAGAAGAGTTGAAAATATCTTTTTTTTCCCTCCTGCCTTGCAGATCTTCATTTTCTTATTTGCTTTCCACCTCTAGTCAAGCAGAGCATTTGTCACAACATCTGTGCTTACAGCTGGCAAATTCCATTTCTGCTTGGCCAAAGTGTTAATAAGATAGTATGAGATGAACTCTATGTTTATGTGTCTTGGGCAAATTTCTTAAGAAAACAGATTAAACTGAACCACCATGAGGGTTCTTTTCAGGCTGATCTCTTAAAAGGGTTTCCCTTCTGCCATGAACTGAAATTATATCTTAAATCTAAGAATATAGTCCTCTAGAGCAATGTTTCTCAACTTTGGCACTTTAATATATATGGGCTTTAACTCCCAAAATTCCCCAGCCAGCAAGTTGGCTGGGGAATTCTGGGAGTTGGTCTACAAACCAACTTCTGGGAGTTGGTCTACAAACCTTAAAGATGTGTTTAAAGGTTAAGAAACATTGTCCTAAAGAAAGGGCGATGGTTACCTAGCAGCATAGATATTTTGTTTGTCAAAGGTTTCAAAGGTTCAGTACTTGGCACCCCTTGTTAAACAATCTTACAGAAGAAAAAGGGAAAGCAGCAGAAGACAGCTGCTGCAGAATATAGCTGCTGCAATGGCCAGCATGGGTTTGTCTGGTCTGTGTAAGATAGTTCACTACCATGTCAATCTGTTTTTGCATAATACAGGGAATCGTCATAAACCTGAATGGGAGAAATGCCTCGGAAAAGAAATTGTGGGTTCTAATGCAAGATTTTCAACCCAGCAGACTGAGCCATGAAAGGAGCACCACATTATTGTTAAGGCCCACCTACTGATTCATTTAGCTCCTCTGCATTAAATAGGGAGGAGGGTAATCTCTTCTCAGCCTTTGGCAGTGAGATGTCTTGGGACATCCTTGCTTTCTAATGGAATAGTCATGAATCATACTGATTGAGGAGACAGTAACTGTAGCCTAACTGGGGAGAGGATGCCAAACTGGGGAAGTCTGGGCTAAGGCAATGAAATAAATTATGAGAAGCTACCTGATATCTATGCTGACTTGCAATCCAGAGAGGAAAGAGGTGGCCTTTAGGACAGGCAAATGGTTTGAGGTGGGAATTCCCTTTATTTTACTCTCCAGGCACAACAAGAGTGTTCCCTATGGAAAACCTTTCAGCCAGTTGTCCAGTGTATCTGCTCTCTTGTAGAATGCCACACTTTTACATCAAGATATTCACACTGAGAAAGAGACTGCAAAAATTATGTCTGAATAATCCATGCCTGAGGCTATTTGTAACCAATGATAAAGCCAACCGCTTCCCTCTCTCACACACATCCCCTTTCTAGTAGATTTCTTTCCAAAAAAAAAATCTAACAGCAATGAAGAGAAACAAAAATGTGGCCATTAAGCAATAAAAATAATAATTAGAAAAACTGTTTTCTACTAGGTTGCATGTTTCTTTAAACAAAATAAAAATAAAATAAAAAATCCATAATTTCATGCAAGAGTTTTGAAGCTCTTTCTGGAGCACAAGAGCAAAATAAATAATTTTTTTTTTATGTGACTGGTTCCTTAAAAAGTAGATTTTTTTTAATAAAGTTGTCCATTTTTCCTCCCCACAAAACACAATCCATGGTAGAAATCCAGCAAGGGTGGCTACTACTGAACTTCCTCTGCTTCAGGAGATGGTTAATCGCTTTACAATATTCACAGTAATGAACAAAGAGAAAGGAAAGCTGGCTCTAGTTTCTTTCACTACTTTGGCCACCCTTCCTTTCCACTGGGACAAGCAGGTATCGTATCAAACAGATGAGTTCCTCTTTCTCCTTTTACCTGAGGGAGCAAAGTGCATAACAGGCACCATTAAGCATTTCTGCAGAAGACCCATCATTGCAAAGTTTCCATTTAGCACTAGGAGTTGAATTCTACTGGAACAAGATCCCCTTTTCCTTTCTTTCTTCCTTATATTTTCTTTCCTGGGCAAAGTCTTTCCTTCCTGTCCTCTTAGGCCAAGCCCAGTTCTGGAAGTCTGTGAGAGTCATTAAACTCTATCCCATAGCTGTGACCATGCTGGATGGATGTGGATGCCCAAATGAGATGCTGGAAGATGGGTGAATGGGGGTAGGAGTTGGGAGGATATGTCCAGAGTGGCTGAAGGGTGGCAAGTGGCCCATTGGTGTCATGTGACTAGCCAGGGCAGCAGCACTGAAAGGTGAGGACTTCTCCTGCATGCATTTAGACAGTTCCTCAAAACATTCAGAGCCTTTCTTGCTCTTCTTGGATTTGTTGGACATTTTCCTATTTCTGGTCTGAATCCCTTCCTTCTTCATGGTCAGTGGCCTGTTCACCTGCAAGAAATGAGAAAATCAGGCTCCTGCAAGCAAAGCGGTATTTTTTCTGCAAAAAGAAAAATATTTGAACAACCCCCTAAATCTTCTCAGAGCAGCAAACATTTTGTGCCCTCCTCCCCCAAATCCATCATTATATAGTTCTCTCTTTGTTCTCCCAGCAACTTGTGTTTATAGCTTAACTTTATTGGATAAGAACACATCAAAATCAAAAGTATAATCAGATTGCTTTCACTCTTCCTTCCCTTACTCTGGCTCTTTAACAATAAATCACCTCTATATCCTTAGATAATTTGTATGGGGGTTGACAAACTTGACTCCTGACAATTATATGGACAGGGTTCATGCAGGGTTTTTGGCAATATTTTTGGAAGTGGTTTGCTACTTCTGCCTTCATAGGGCTGAAAGTGTGACTGACCCAAAACTTCTCATGGGGCTTCGATGCCTAAGGCTGGATTACAACTCATAATCTCTCTGTTTTTAATCCAGTGTCTGTAACTACTACATCAAACTGCCTTTCATATTTGCACATGTATCTCTACCTCTATCTATATACACACAGAATATTCTGCACACATTTCCACATTGACTTCATACCTGGAGTTTTAAAACTCCCTCACCTTGAGATATATATACAAAACTGTGTTAAATATCCTCTGCATTACTTGGGTACAGTAGGGAAGAAATGAATATGCTTTAGCAATAACTCTCTTTTGCCTAGATTATCTGGGCTTTAGAAGCCAAGCTAACACATTGTAATGTTATTGAACCCAGCATCACTATGCCAACAAAGAATGATTATGACTTCCCCGGGGAACATTAAAGAGAGTTAGTTTTTTTTTTTTTTCAATAGGTCCCTTTGCAATGAATGCAAAGGCTACTGGACAGCAGGCAGTTAAGGCATCAATCTCAGCTAAGCAAGCAAAAGAAGAAACAAGGCAAGAAAATACTCACATTGTGCAATTTGTAATACAGTCCACAGGCATTACAAACTGGATCCCCATTGGCATTACGTCGCCATAAAGTTGTGGTGGTAGTTTGGCAGTTAGCACAACAGGTTCCTGCTCTCCTAGCAGCTGACTAATTAAAGATGAAAATAAATAGATGTTGGAGAAGATGTTATTTCGGTTTTGACTGTTGCATTGATTTTAAATTAAATATTAAATATTCAGCCACCCTCTCTTAAAGTTCTCAGTCTTTTTTATTTTGCTTTGTGGCTGTGTCATTCAAACATACATGAACTATTTGATGGATAATGTGAATTCCACACCCAACTCAAAATCGTAACAGCTTATCAACGTCCTCATTTTCTTGCCAGTGTTGGATAGCTTTATGCATTTACCGAAATCCTGTCTCCCCACTCCCCTTCCAAGCAATTGTCCTCTCATCCTTTGCACATGGGCAGGGGAAGTCAACTAGCCAATGAATAGTAAATTACAGCTATGCATGAAGAACTCAGGGCTATGTCGGAAATCAGAGAAAGTTGGTGTTCTTTAAGTGAGAACACATCTAAAAATCAAGAGACAGAGCCTGTCTGTCAGCCACCTACAGTACATACTATTTATGTATCAGGCCTGTAGAGGGATATTCTTTTCATTGGCGTTCTCCACTTCTGATGCCCTCCAGATATACTGGGTCTACAATTCCCAGAATTCTAATTCAACTTCTTTAAACTATTATATCACACGTGAAGAGTGGGAACTTGGAAAAGAATGAATATGTAGGCCAAGTAGCTGAAGTAGCTGAACTCTGCAGATAACTACTCTTCCCTTTTCTTATTCCACTTCATCATTTTAACTCATTTTCTCCCAGCCAGCCTCAGAACTGGATGAGGCAAAACCTGCTTAAAGCAGCAGAACACAAAGCTAAGGACGGATGAATCTACAGTAGCTCCCTTAACTAGGAAATTTGGACATAAAAATGTCAAAACAGAATCTTGCTTCAAATGAGGAGGAGCCTCAAGAAAACCTACAGGATCACTGTGAAGAATATTCAGGCTAACTGGCGGATAAATTCTCAGATACACTCAGAGTTGGACTGAGGAACCTGGGGCATTGTTTTTGAGTTTATCCGGCATGAATTTGAATCTCTGCCTCCTGAAGTAATGGACAGTCCACAGAACTAGAAGCAAAGTATTCCAGTGTTTGAGATCCAGTCCCCCCTGAGCTGTTAAATCTGTTTAGGAGGTGACCTGCAGTTAGATCTATGTGAAGGTGACAGAGGGTATCGTTCCTTTGGCCTTGAAGGAGGCGGTGATATATTCCCATGAGAGGCTGTCACTGGACCTAGGAATCCTAACTGTGGGGTCTGGGAGTGCGGGCACAGCACTGCAGTGGTTTTCCTCTTTTTCTGTAGTCAATGTTAATGGGGAGAGGTCAAGCTTATGTTCCTCATTTGTGGAGTGCCTCAGGGCTTGGTATTTTTTGCCCTTCTGTTGAACATCTACATGACTGCTTGGTGTGATTATGAGGTTCCTCTCTCTAGTCAGGAGTCCTTAAATTCATTACAAGGTACAGAACCTTAATTATGTTAATATATTGCATTGTCTCATTGCCTCTAACTCCTCTCTGCATTTATTTGTTTGCTATTCTTATGGCGTATTCAAATGCCAAGACCATTACAAATATCAGACTTTTAATTAGCGAGTGTATTTTCACCATCACTCATAAAAACAAGGTAAATTAAACTCTATGTAAATGCCCCATTTCTGATTAATAAGGACCAAAAGGCTTTAATCCTTTCAAAGACAAATTTAATTATTTAATTTTAATAACTTGCAATTTAAGGATTTGGAATATTTAGGCTACTTGTTCCGGTACTTAACACTCCTGCCTCAGCAACCCGATTGTAGTAATAGGGAACTATAATGCTACACTGAAAAAGAGTTCAGTATATTTTCTTCCACATAACTACCATATTTGTAAAGATGGTGGGGGTACAGCTGTATTACAGCTTTCACTTTAATATATAACTGATAACTGTCTCTTCGTATCTTAAAAGAAGTAAATGAAATTGGCCCCCATGAATTTGCTACGCTTTAGCAAACAAATGCCAGCCTAACAGCAGCATCTATTGATTAGCTCATTTGTTCTATAAATCTTTGTATTGAGGCTGAAGTTCTGAGCAGCTTAAATAAATGACTTGTACTAATAATACATTGCTGTGCTAATATGTGGCAAGATTGCTATGGATTCCAATAGGAATTGCATTAATTTTCGCTTGGCCCTAAAGGGGAGGGGGGGGACTGATTTTGTACATGAAAGTAAGATTTACATTCAGACAAAATGCCTTTCCCCTTTAAATTGGTTCTTGGCGGAGTGACCCATAACCCTGAAAACAATAGGGTCATTTCAGAAGTTTTTAAGAGTAGAAGAAAATGCACCCTCTCTTTTACAAAAGAATCTTTGGTAGGAAAGGATTCCTGTTTCAGGAAATATTTTTGCCCGCCCCCCCCCCCCCCCTTGAGGCAGTATGTGGAAATATAGATGCTTTTTCTCCACATAAAATATTTAGTCTGTGAGAGAGGTCTTTTAAAATCAAATTAATTTCTCTGCTGATTTTGGAAGCAGCCAGGCAATAATACCGCTAGCCACTATATAACCCTGATTTATTGAGAAGGGAAATCAGACCAATATTTCACATCATTTAGATCAGACGCCCAAGTATAAAGGCTGGTGGGTTCATTCTAACCTTGAGAAAATGGTGAGGGCATTATCATAAAAGGGGAAGAATTTTAGTGATTTGGTTCAGAAAACTTCACTGATTTACTACAAAGGGGGAAACAGCCAGATATAAGGTACCAAATCACCAGAATGCAACCAACCCTATCTAAAAGTTCCATTTCTCAAAATTCCTCCACTGTTTACTATCTCCCTTTTTGTGAGCAGCTAGGGTTACTGCCAAATAGTGCGCCAATTATGCAACAACTCGTCTTTTTTTTATTTGAGACTAAGACGCATTCTTGAAAATAAAGATGGAGCCTGTCCTTCTGCTATTGGTGTTAAAGCATGCGAACTATGCAATTTTAAATCTTAATATTTTCAAAAATCTCAGAATGAAGAAGAGGGAAGAGAGCCCAGGATGTAGCAAGCTGAAGTGTCCACAAATAAATGTGGTGAAAGTGCTTTCTTTAATCTAAATTTGGAGTCCCATAAAACAGGCTTTGTTAATACTCTGTCCAATCTCCACTACAAGACAATTAATACTATGTATAGTCTAAAAATGGTTATCATGTCTGAGAATTATGGAAATTGTAGTCTAACAAATCTGAAAGCACGAGGCAATTAAGAGAGCCTAATTTGCTATGTATGCTACACATTAATACTTCCCCCCATTATACTTATCTACCTTGCACATTCAATTTTTCATTAATCTTGCACAACTTTCTTTTATAAATTCAAGAATAATAAGAGATGTATAAAGATATTCCTTTACTTCAACAGATACTATTACTGACGTCCCACTGGTTTCAATGGGACCCACACTAATCCAGGCTGTGTACAACTTTATATAATAGAATCATACACTTCAACAGTAAGAAAGGAAAATCAATGACTGTAACTAGTACACACATTAAAAGGATGTAGAATATAACTGACCCTTTAAAAATTCAGTATAGCTGAATGTGGCATCTATGTCAAGTAGTAGAATTTAAATTACTTTTAAGGATAACTGAGAGAATAACAGACACAATCCTGCGGACAATTCTTCTACATAAATCTAACTGAAGCTAATTGGCGTATAAAGAACAACAAGAAGAAAGACTATTATTTTAATTTTTTAAATGGGACCAGGAATACACTGGAGAAGCCGCAATTACGTCATTTTGCTAACTAAGAGAGTTTTCTGATGCCGTTTGTAAAAAGCTGCCTTAAAACAAGTTGCATCTGTTTTGTCCATATAGTTTAGTCTACTCCAAATACCAAAGTGACCCTGAGAAAAAGCTCTCCCGTGCATCTAACTAATTTTTTTTCATTTACCAAGAGTTGAACCTCCAACTGTCTGCATGAAAAAAAATGTGCTGTACCACTCATCTACAGCTATTGCCAATCTGCAAGACTGTAAGCCAGAAAACTCTTACTGAGCTGATTCACTGGAAATGCAACAAGGTTTAAGAAAAGGGGATACCTAAACTAGTCAAGTATACTTCCTTTTCTTGTTGAAACCCCATAAAAGGTTACTGCTGCCAGGAACTTCTGAGTCTAAAACTGTGTTTCCCAACCCTGGCCACTTGAAGCTGTGTGGACTTCAACATGGCTGACTGGGGAATTCTGGGAGTTGAAGTCCACACATTTTCAAGTGGCCAAAGTTGGAAACACTGAATTAACAGATGCCAAACTAGTGCATCAATTGAAGCAATGAGGCTCCTGCTAGAATAGGATAATTCTCTTTTATTAGGCTATAGGCTTAGTATGATATATATGAATAGTCCCCTTTCTATTCAATTTTTTTTTTGTTTCAAGATGTGACAAGATAAAATTGGGTTTTAAAATGCATCTTATTTTTCACCGGACAAGAGAATGATGACTATATTGATTTGTTCCAACTTTTAAAATTGCCTTCTCTCTGATCCAAAATTTAACACGCACATATACCTCTAGAAACTCACCTGCTAAAAGCCATACTTGTGAAAAAAGAGAGAGAAACCTATGTTTGCATATTTGGGATTCCTTATTTCTTATTCCAGTGTCCTGCTAGACACTGGCCCTTAACGCTGCACCCTATCCCGTTTAGTCTGGCATGGAGTTTGCCCTGTCAGAGACAATAACATTTCCCTGTTATCTTAACATTTTTCTAGTTGTGTCAATCACTTCAGAAGAAAAGTAAGTCATTAAGACAATCGCCTGCTTGAAGTTCTGACCCTCAAAATCCTTTGCATCCTGTCTCAGCATTAGATCATTAGAACCGTTCCTTCAGCCTTATAATCATTCTGGAAAAAATGCCCCCTGCCAAAGAGCAAGGGCATTTTTGGTCCCCCTAAATCACATTGTTCCGTGTGTGTGTGTGTGTGTGTGTGTGTGTGTGTGTGTGTGTTTTCTCCTTTTTTAAACAAATATTTGTACAGCAGAGCCTATTTGCAATTTCAAAACAGACGGCCTGAATAGCATGGCCTGCCTATAGAAACTCTTTAAAGCTTTTAGAGCCAGGAAACAGATACACAAAGTTTCCTTATCTTCAGAATACAGATATCCGGATAGGAAACTACTACCAGGAGCTCCGCATTTTTTTCAAAAATTAAAAAATCAACAACCCTGAAATGAAAATACAAAGTATAGGTGACTCCATGGAAAAATAATCAGCCCTTGAAAAGGGCAATCGGAGGATCGCTTCTAAAGAAGGCTAATGTTAGTTTTACCATGGAATCTCTGACTACAAAACCATCCAAATAATGACAGAACCAGTTTTGACTCATCTATTATTGTTTTTATGTTTTTTTTTAATACTTTCTGTTTTGGGTCACTTTTTGTACTTTTCAGCTGGGAGGGCAGGCAGGCAAAAGTGATTCTTTCAGTTTGAGCGTCCATCTGACCTGTCCAAGAGGTCAAATGAATTAAAGCTGTCTTTTCTGGATAAAAGAGGCAGAATAATGCACAGGAAGAAGTAGGCCGATTTAATTGGGCACGTAACTCTCAAACAGGCAGGAATGTGCTGCAAAGATACAGACAGGCAGAACGTAAGCATGCGAGGCAGTATAAGTCTGTGCCACCGGCCTACTTCATAAGATTGTTGTACGGGCAATAAATCACAGGACTTCTAAATCTGTAGTCAAGAGTATACTAAGAGTATACAAATGCATATACATATCCCCATATGAAATAGCTATTGTTTTATATCCTGGCATGTAAATAACTACGGGTGGGATCCTAGCCGTTTGTTCCTAGGCTACTCTGTGGCCTCTCAGTGACACAGCCTTCATGTGCAGAGAGTATCTAGCTTCCATGCAAGTTCTGAATCCCACAGATGGGTCAGGTTGTACCCTCTTCCTTCAAATGCAGGGATGGTCCCATGAAACTATTTTGCCCCGAACCTGATAGAGAAACAGGCACCTACCAGTCTCCGCTTAGGTTTAATGAGAGGTCGGTTTTGACCGTTCATTTTGTGGTATAGCCCGCAGGCGTTACACAGGTAATGCCCGGTACCGTCTCTTCTCCAGAGAGGGGTAGCAGTAGCTCCACAGTTGACACACTCTCTGCCTTCTAAATGGAAACACGAAGAAACCGGATTTCTTTCTTTAAAAACAAATTCACAAAAGCTTTTTGCATTGTCCATTTAGGTAGATTCCAGATATCAAAACAGCAGGTTATTATTCAATTTATTTAAAAGGGGAGGAAAAAGACAGGTCAGTGACACAACATTTACAGTACATACAATAAAGGTAGGGACATGCAGTTTTCAAGCATTTGCTTTCTCGTGTAACAATAACGCTGTCTAACCTAGACAGGGGTATTTTTTATTACAGCTGCCACATGAGAAAACAGACCCTGTTCCAAAAATGTAGAGTCATAAGCTGTTCTTTCCTCTCTCTTGTCTCCAACATCTAAGAAGTAATATTGGAACTGAAACAAGAATACACAATCTTTGTTCATTAATGTTTTGGGGTTAGAGAAAAATTCTCTTCCTCTGGCTTGCCCAATTCTTTTTTTTTTCTTTCTTTCTTTCTTTCTTATAAATGTTGCACTCTTTAGAATGAAGCAGAATTCACTTTTGTTTCTGGGCATTCCATATACCCTTGTATCCAAAATCTAATTTATTATGCATTCTCTTTGTTATGGGCTTAAGATTGATCTGGCTCAAAATGCTTAAACACGGCTGCTTGTTCAACAGGAGTCTCTTTTTAAAAGGAGAGGGCGGGGGGGGGGGGTAAGAATATTAACTAAAAGTTCATTTGTTTGAGGGCAAGGAAATTCTTTGAGCAGAGCTTATGCAAATCATACAGTATTTAATGCAGAGGAAATACACTTTGGCAGTAACTTGAGCTGGCCATACTAAATTCAGCTGTGTCTGTGTCTCCTTTAATCTATGGAGTGGGTGGTTTTTAAACAGCCCTGGCTGGAGTGAAAAATGAGGGACCTCTGTGAAGCCAGGAGTTCCTAGCTTTTGTCCCTCCTTAAGCAGGAAGCTGCAGGAGTCGCCTTGTCGTGAGTCTTGCTTCTCCTACAAAAACATTAAATGGTCACGAACTTTCCCCAGTTTTATCTACAAGACAGGATCTCCATTACAAAATGTAGGGAAACTTCTACATCTAATAAACAGTGTTGACTATGGCAAATGAGAACAGAAGTCGTGGGAGGAAGGTTGTAACCAAATTTCCCAACGATTCCTATTGCAATGGAGAGCAGTTTATAAAAGTAGCCAATTAAAAAAAAAAGTATTTTATCGCTGTTGCATATAACACAAAATTCCAGAATTTCTTTAAAGAGGGTGATCCAAACAGAGACGCAACAAAAAGTTGCTGTACTTTTCTTGCAACATTCCTAAAAGTAGTTAAGTCTCTGAATTACTAGCCATGTTGAAAAGAGGTGCAAAGGTATCTTGTTTTGTTTTTCTTTGATATTGCAATAAATTTCATCTTTACTGATAAAGCCATTACAACATTAAATTAATATAAAATATTCTAAGTTTGGTTTCATGTGAGTATTATTTATTACACTGATCGTCTTTTTAAAAAGAAATCTAAGAGCATGTTTGGCTTGAAATCTGTAAAGGTAATGACAGAGAGGCAAATAAGTTGCAGGTTTAACAAACAGATGAACTGGAGTTAACTAAGACATATGATGTTCCTCACGTTTTATTAGATTCATTTAAACTATCATTTAAAAGGTACTTTGGAAGCCTGCAGTCCTATGTAAACTATGTTTGAACTTTGTATGATCTGGAGAAAGCAAAGTTCTGTACAAGTTATAAGAAAAAGAGCTTGTAAATTTCAGTCCTTAACAGCTGAGCCTATATAAAGTCCCTTGTTTAATGAAGATGAACTTTATTGAAAGTTAACAGAAATCTACGATAAAGTTCATCTTTATTAAGCAGTTAACAAATTAACTAAAATTTTCAGTAATGGGGATCCCACCCAAAAGAGTGTAAGGCACATCAGGCTTTTCCAATGAATTCAGTTGTCCCAGATTTTCATGGGGTTGCATTAAGAGGTTTACCAATATAAACTCTTTTATCTGCATAATTCTGATCTACGAACTTTGTGTGTCTTTTTTTTTTTTCATGGATTATGGCAGTTTTTGGGCTCAGCAATGAGTGACTTCTATGGAGATCAGAGACTGGAACAAAAAGAGAGACCTGGCTTGCCAATTAATTAGCAAAAACTAAAATTATGAAAAATAACAAACTGGAAATGCTCTTGTGCTGCACATTCTCAGAACAACTACTGATAACTTAATTTTGTTACATATTCTCACAAAAATGTAGGAATATGGAAATCCATTCAAATCTGATCAGGAAATTTTAAAACTGGCCATTTAAAAAAAAAAAGTCTTTAATGCTTATCCTTTAACGTATTTAACTATACATCAAGAAGAGTTTTTGAAGAAATGACCCAGCTCCAGAAGCCCACTAATACTTGCAATCATGATTGTTATCTCCCTAGATTATTACAGTTACAGGATCAAAGTGGTGATTCATTTATTTGGAATTATTAAACTAGGACTGAATAGAGAATAGTAGTTAAGAGTTCATTTCAGTTCTGTTCAGATTGTGTTTGTCTGTGCGTGCATATTTAAAAAAAATTAACTACTGCATTAGACAAATATATTTGGGGAGAGGGCTAGTATTTTCTAAATTGGAAAGAAACATGATCCATATTATCATGTCTAAATTATTTAAATCAAAATTGTTGCTCTTATTAAATACGTGTACAGATTTTCACCTCCTGGAATATTTTCCAATTCTTATTTTGTGAATGATCTAAAACAGAAGAAATCCTGAGTACTGCAGTTCACAAGGAAAAACAAAACCCCTTCTCAGGCCCCTCCTTTTATATTACAACTGTTATTAACAATCGATGGCTGTTATTTGTAACAGGGGGATTTAATAAATTTACAACATTTATGCCACACTTATCCCAGAGACAGCAAAGGCAAGCAGGCAGCCAAGGTTCAAGATGCAAAAAAAAACGATTTCCAACGTGGCATTAATTAAATAATTCCCACCAGAAAAACTTTTACTCTCCATCCCCCCACCCTCCACCCGCGATTGGAAGGCAGGAGGAGTTGAACAAGGCTTTTCAGAAAGGCTGGAGAAGGGGGGAGAGCGGTCTTACCTGAGCAGGACCTGGCTTTGCTCCTCTGCTTTGGGGTGAAGCTAGAAGCGGGGCCCCCGAGGAAACTGCCCGGGTGGAAGAGGCTGCCGCCGTAGTCGTGGGCGGCGGGCACGTAGGAAGGGTAGGTGGGGATGGGGTGGTGCGTGGACGGCTGGGCGCCCATGGAAGCGGCCAGGCTGCTGCGCAGCGGGCTGGCGCTCTCCATCTTCATGCCGTCGGCCAGGGCCACCTGGTACTTGAGGGGCTCCTTGTCATCTTGCCTGCCGCCGCCGGCCGAAGCGGAGGCCGGCGAGGCGGCGCTGCTTCCCGCATTGGGGTCCGGCGAGACTTCCTTGGGCGGCGTAGGCGGGAAGCCGAAGAGATGCGAGCCGGAGTGGGAGGCCGGCGTGAGCGAGGAGGCCGAGGCGGCGCTCGAAGCGGAGCTGCTGCCTCCGGGGTAGACCGAGATGGCGCCGGGCGGCGCGCCGGCCGCCGAAGGGTGCAAGGGCCCCTTGGTGAAAGGGTTCACCGTCCACGGGTTGTGATGGTGAGCCGCCGAGAGCGCCGCTTTGCCGCTGTCCAGCCAAGGCAAGCCGGGGCTGTGGAGCAAGTGAGGCCGGCACATTTGGCCGCCGGTCAGACGGGCTGGGGAAGGAGGAAAAGGCGCCAGTCAGCCAGGCAGGCCAAAAGCCTGAGGTAAAAAGATTGTCTCCCACTCTCGCCTCTCCCTTCCCCCACCCCCCACCCCTCAAAGGTTTCCCTCATGCTGGAGCAGGGCTTGGTAGACAAGCAGACGCGCTCCCCCCCCCCTTGACCTGTCCGTCCCAAACCCGCCAACGTGAAGATCTGCTCCCAAATCACTCACGCAGGTCAGAATTGGAAAGAGGCAGCGGCTCAGCTGCCCTTTCCTTGCCCTCCCTTGAACCCGCGGAGGGGAGAGGGCTGAAACGCGCCCCCTCCCCCCCCCAGTTCTTTGCGGTCTCTCACGCAAAAAAACAAAACAAAACAGGCATAACGTTTAAAAAAAAAAAAAGATGCCGGCTTTAAAAGCCATCTAGTAGGGCCTCCTCGGGGAAATCAGTGGGGGATTTAGGAGAAAAGTATGCAAATATGGATACTTTGTCCCAGTGGTGGGATTCAAGTAATTTAACAACCGGTTCTCTGCCCTCATGATTTCTTCCAACAACCAGTTCGCCAAACTGCTCAGGAAGTTAACAAGCGGTTCTCCCGAAGTGGTGCGAACTGGCTGAATCCCACCACTGCTTTGTCCGCTGGCTCTTTCCTTCCCACCCACCCCCCTCTCCCGGTTCAGCTGCCCCCCCTCTCCCCCACTCTTGATCAAGCGTAAGTGACGGAAAGCAGAGCCGGGCAGGCGTCTTATATCGCCCCACTGCTCCACCATCGGACGCCAAAACTTAGTTGGAACGTGGAGGGAAGTAAAACGTCAACGCGAGCGGGCTGGCAAGCCAAGAACAGGAGGCTCTCTTCCCCCCCCCCCCCCCAATTCCGCTTGCTGCTGCTTCCCAAAGAGGCTTGCAGACAGGCGGCATTATTACGAACACTCTGTTTTGCGATTGTTTTCCAATTTTACAAAAATTGAATTCTTGGCAAACTCCCCCCCCCCTTCCAGTTCTTATACGGCCGCTGACAAAAGGACGAACGTTTAAAAAGTGTTTCGAATTAGGCTAAGATCTTCGTATCCGGAAAACGGGCCTGCCTTGCGGCTGCGAAAATGCCTCTAATAACCCTCTCTTCCTCCACGCACAAGGACGTCCCTTCCCTTTTCTGTTCTCCCCCACCACCCCCAGCCCCGCCGTCAGTTAAAAGCGGCCCTCCAACTGACGAGCTAAGGCTTTTTTTTTCTTTCTATTTTTTCCCCTAGGATGAAAAGCCCACCCTGGCTCACCCTCTCTTCTCTCTTACTGCTGCATTTTGCCCGGAAACCTTCCGGACGCTTCTCCACCGAGGTCAATCAGCAGGAGGAGGCCGAAGCAGAAAACGGGAAGCGAGAAGGAGGGGGGGGCAAAATTACCGTGTGCCTGGCTGTAGGAAACCCTGGCTCTCGCGTGGGCCGAGTTGGCGTAATACGGGTTGCCCTGGGAGTCCAGATGGTTAAAAAAGACGTCCACTTCGTCCGGAGGTAGGAGCTGCGCCGGTTCCATATAGTTGTGAGCCAGTCCCGGGTGATGAGTCTCCGGGTGCTGCCCGTTGAGCACGGCGTGATGGGCCATCCAGCGTGGCTGGTCCGTGGCTACCTCCATTTCGGTGGGTTTCTGCCCACTCCGCCCCTAGCCCCCCCTCCCCGCCTCCTTCCAACCCCAAGTCGTTTTGCCTTTAGTTTCGTTTGGCTTAAAATCGTAGAGCTCTCAGAAGCTGCGAGGTGGCCTTGGAAGGGGAAGGAAGGGGGGGGGTAAAAAAAGAAAAGAAAAGGTGTCTCTCTTTGAAGGACGGGAAGCTGCGGAGAGAGAGAGGTTCCGGTTGCCACACGTCTTGGGATCACCACCTGTAAGAAGGAGGGAAGGATGAGTACACGGCGGGCCTTTGGAAGGGGTTACACTGAAGAGACCGCGGCAGGGACTCAGGGAAACGCGGAAGAAGGGGAAGCAGGCACAGAGCACAGCGAAAGCGATCCCATCCATGGCGTCCACCGCACTCTATTCCTCCCCCCACCCGGCCTTTGCATCTTCGTTAGGCTGCCCTTGCCGTGAATAACACGGCCAGAACGACCTTCTTTTAACCATAACAATACGAGACAGAAGGCAGATCTTTGATCTACATTTGCCTACAAAGGAGTTCAGGCTGACATTTTCCAAAAGAATCCTAAAGGGGTTAAGAAACTGGGAAAGCATTTATATTTCTGCAAAATAAAAACCAGGCGTCGCTTTCCCACCCGCCCCCCGCCCCCCACCCCACCAACCCGCATTCAGCTCATCAAACATACTTACAAGGAGATCTTTCCAAGCAGACTGAATTCGAACTCCAAATGTTTGAAAAGTTTCTTTAGTTGTAAACGGGGGGGAGGGGTGGGGGGGAATGGGGGTGGGTGGGAGGGGTGACGGATGATTTTTTGGAGGATGAAAATGCAAAAAGGAAAAAAAATTAGTGTGGGAGGGAGAGTCGAAGGAGAGCGCGAGAGAGGAGGATTGGATGGAGGCTCTTACTCAGATGGCAAGCTCCACTTATTCTGGCCTTTTCTGTAACATCCCCAAAGCATCCTGTGTCAGCTCTGGCGCCAGCTGGACTCAGTTCAGTAGACATGAACTAGGGGCTACGCACAGGCTAAGAACCTCCGTCCAGCCAATCAGCAGCTCGGCGTCTAGTCTCGCCTTGCGATTGGCCCCAGAAAATCCATTCCCTCGTTTTGCTCCAAACAGCTAAAAAGTGCTGAACCCGCCAAAGAGAAAGACGCTCGCCACCCCCCCCCTCCCCCCGCCCTCACCCCCCCACCCCCACCCCGCGCGCACACCCACCCACCCTCCACTGCCTTTTCGACTTCTCTCTGCCATAACTTCTGAGATAGCCCCACTCCAGCTCTCTCCTCTATCAGAGGAGCTTCTTGTAAAAAAAAGAAAAACAAAAAACAAAACAAAAAGAGGATTTTGTTGAGTCCCCGGCCCATATCAAAGTTTTATAAAGTCCGCGGCGGGCACTAAATAACCCCAAGTAGTTTGAGGGTGGTGGTTTAAGACTCCGGGCAAAGATATTTCACCAGGTGCCGCTGGGAGGCAGGGCAAAGGATAGGAGAATGGGGGGTTTACGAAATATCTCCCAGGTTTGAAAAACAGAATATTTGCTAGAGACCCTTTCCTTCCACCCCCACCCCCACCCCCGCAAAAAAAATCCTATCGACCCAACATTTTAAAATGGGATTTTTTTTTTCATTTATGGGCTTGATTTAAGTCAAACACTTCTGTTGGGTAGTTTATGAAAATACACCACAGCTGAAACTTGAAGTTAGTGTTTAAGGTGGGAATATCTTTAACTTTAGAATCGTATTGTGCGTGTCCAGTTTCTTTTCTCCCAGTTGTAGTAGGTAGTTCATTGTATTTGTATTATTTCATTCTCTAGAATTGCAACTTTCATGAGCCTCTTACCTAGACACAAATGTGATTTGTGTGGAAGAAGTAAATACATTCAGGCTTGTACTGAAGTGTATTTTTTCTTCCGAAGCCAGCTGTAGCATTTATGATAAGAAAGGCCTCGCGTATTTGAAATACAAAATAACTTTATAGTAGAAAACACAACACAACACAAGTAGTCAACTTGGAAGTAATTATAGGTATGAATCTTGAGTATAGATAAGTATAATTCTGATTTTTTTTTAAAAAAAAATCTTAATATCTTGATTCAGACAGAAATACCAGATTTACTTTGAAAACATAAACCTTTCAGAAAACAGCCTTTTGTGTGTTATGTAAACTCACAAAACCAACTGGAATTTATAGCTGTTCTGCAATTTCTTGCACCCAGTAAGATCAAAGGAAATCAGGCCATTTACAGGTCCAAAAAAAGAAAGAAAAATCAAACCCACGTTATTTTATTTTTTATTTTTCACTTCTTATAGTGACTGAAGGCGGTTTAACAGAATGGGCCTTCCTATTTAAATTCTAGATGCATTTTAACTCTCTGAGGATACACTCGAACGACCTTGTGTTTTAAAACCCTAAAAATCTTATTTCTGTTGGCTGAAAGCTAGAGGGACTTTCAGCCCCTCCGCTTAAGAAACGGCTCCTAATAGCCGCCAGTTGGGTGGCTACAGAAAGATCTGGCGGCCCCGGACTCCGCAGCTTTCGCTCGGCGCCGTCCAAGGTAAGACAAACCCAGGAAGGATCGCTTCGAAACCCACAAAAGAGCAACTGATTGGCGAAAAAACCTGTTTCGAAATAATTCCTTCTCCCCCTCCCTTCAAATCAATCCCTCACTTGAGGACACCAATTATTTGGCGGCATTTTTACATTAAGCCACTTAGTATGGCTAAGTCGGGTTTTCTTTCCCCAAAAAAAATTGTATTGATAGTTAATGTCCTTTTTTAAAAAAAGAAAGAAAGAAAAGAAAGCAAAACAAGCAATGGAGGTGCCACCCTCCTTCCCTGGTTTCTGGGGAGAATCTTCCTTGAGCTTTCTCTCTCTCTCCTGCCCACCGGCAAAGGGCTAATCCTCGGAGCAGCAGCGCCTCGAGGTTCTCTCCCAAGCCTCGAGGTAGGACGCGGCCCTCGCTCCTCGTGCTCTTCCTGGCTCCGGATCAGATCCCCAGTCCTGCTTTCTAAATCCAGCTCATCTGGCGAGCCCGATCCAATCTCTTCGCCCGCCCCCTCGCCCTCTAGAAACTGGCTTCTTTTGCGTTTCAAGGGCAGTGGGAGAGAGAGAAAAAAGGGGGGGTTCCCTCCGGTTTTCCCTAGCAGCGAAAGGAGCAAAGGGCTCCTGCCAGGATCGCACCGGGTTGGCCCGGCTCCTGTTTAGTGGAGGTCGGATTCCCCTTCGCTCTTTCTCCTAATGAAGGAGGCATGAATTCCTCCCCACCCCTCCGTCCTCCGTGAGAGACCTGCTTCCTAAACCCCCTATTGCCAATGGGCAGCGAGTGGACGGGTAATTTATCTCGTTCTGGGGGGATTTGTCTCTTCCACCGCAGAGCCCTGGGGATGCCCGGCAAGTCTTTTGAGTTGTGCAAAATTTCTAACTTCCAGGAACTCTCACTCTTTACCGGACGGAGGTTATTTTTAATATATCCATTGTTATATTCACTAGATTCCATTTTAATGACAGCCTACTACTTCCGTCTGTTCCTCTTTCAGGGGTGTTTCTGGAGATTCTGTTCCCAACACGTACGCGGCTGCCATTCGTGTCTGCAACTTGTGGTCAGATTTTTTTGGGGGGGACCTCTGGCCTCTCCCCGCGCACACTTTAGCATCGGCTCATCATTTTAGAGGGGATCAGCTTGGGTTTTGCTACACAAATCTCCCCCCTCTGCAATACATACCCAGAAGAAAATCCCATAGCCAAACTTTGCTGGTTGTGAGGAGCGGAAACTCCTGGTAGGTAGCGAAAGAGATCTGGACGGAGATATCTCCGTATTTGTAACTCCCACCCGGCAAATGGGTGGGTGGGTAATTGAAAGGAGTCGGTAGATCACGGAGATTCGCGGTAAATAAGCCCGGTACCTTCTTTGTTCCTTTCCCCATTAGCTTATACCCTAGGTTTTTCCTTTCACTTTCGCGCAGCCCCAATCCTATGTGCTTTTGAGTAAATTTAACAGAGCCTTAATCCCCTAGTCAGGGTGTTTAATATGTCCCCTTTTCCTTTCCGTTGTCGTCGTTTGTCTCTGCCTTCCCTTGGGCAATCGGGGCAGGATTTAACCCATTTCGGTGAAGTGCTGACAGAACTTCTGACAGCAAAATCAACTCTCCTCACCACTACCACCCCTTCTTCCGCTCTTCGCCTGGCCCTCTCTTTTGGATCCCCTCATTATCCCCAAAGTCAGGTGGGACCGGTGCTGCACCCGAAGCTAAACTAAGCGGGAAGGGTTGGCAAAGAAGGGAGCTGGTTTGCAGAGCAAGCGAAGATGCGCTTGTTGAAGCCGATCTCAGCCATATTGCCCAGAGTTTCTTCTGAACGCAAAAAAATATTTTTTTTTAATTCCCAGCTCTCCTCCACCCCCACCATCCCGCCCCACACGCTTTTCCTCTAGTAGAGGATTCCTTTCTTTTTATTTGGCCCTTGCCCCCTTTCCTGTTCCGGAAAGCAGGCAAGGCAGGCCCTGGGCTAGGCGGAGATTTGAAGAGGCGTTTGTAGGCCTTTCTGACTCCTGCCTGTTCTTCGGAAATCCTTAAAGGCGATCAGATCAACCGGAACTCACCCACAGCAGAGACCCAGGTTGTCCCACCTGTAGGTAAAACAGTGTGGAAAGGCGGAGTGGGAGATCCAGTTAGGAGAGTAATCCGGTGTGATGCCATCTATAAAACCAGAGTATTTTCATTCTCTGAAGCCTCAGTAGAAAGGTACCCAGCCGCCTAACACAGGCATAGGCTCCCTCACACAGAAATGCATCAGGTTCTTTGTAAATGATCTTCCTGAGAATACTGTTTCTCGGCTCAAAATCGTTTATTTCTTTCTAGAATAAAACTCTTCACTGACCATAGGAACAAGTGTTCTTTCCCTCTTTTAGGAAAGTGATGTAGTATATTTTACAACAATGGAGCTTGTGGCATCTTTCTCTAAAGTCTAAAAGATTAATTGTGGCAGATCAGGCATCTTCGTCTTTGTAAATGAGGGATTATATAAAGCAATTTTAGATATATTTATGTTCCAGAAAACCAGATTACCTCAGGCAAAGCAGGATCTGCAGAGAATTGCAACTTTTTTCCCAGAAGGAGATTAAGAAACTGGTGGTCTGAATTAATTCCCAAATCTGCCAGAAATGCCCCCACACAGTTTTCTTCCTTTGTCACCCTGAGCATTACCTAATTTTTGAAAAAGAAACCACCAACACCTTTTGGTAACAGTTGTG